AGCAGGCAGGAGGGAGGAAGGGAGGACGCAGCCTGCGATGGGGAGAGAGTGGCAGAGGAGACAAAGAGGGGCAGGGTACACCCCTTCCTCTGACGCCCCAGGGTCTCAGGCCCTAGGGCCAGGCCCCAGTCCCTAGGTGCACACAGCCAATACAGGGACGGAAAGGAAAAGACCGAGCCGATCTTTCGGGGCTCCCATTTCCGGCTCCTCTACTGGCTGCTTCCAACTTCCCTGCCCCCACCCCACACATTGAAACAAAATAAGAATATGAACTGTGGTTTTTACACTCTGTTCCTACAGTGTCTGTCTGGAGATGGGGGAAGGTTGCCTGCTGAGCTCTGCAAACTCCCGCGGGCGGCAGTGGGTAGACTCGGGGGGTGGGGATGGGTGTGAACAGATTGTATCCGCTGCTTCCAGGACAGGATGGAGATCTGGCCCAGGCCTCTTATCGCTCGTTCCCTCCAGCCTTCAGAATCCAAAACAGAGAGAGGGTGAGGCTTTGGGGTGCTGCCTTCGCCCCCTACCGGGGAACGGCGGGAGTTCCGAAGGCAGAAGCAGGGCCTCAGCCATGGGGGGATTTCGGCACAGCCACTGCCCGCTCTGGGCTTCCCACACCCAGGAGTGCCCCTCAAAATACCCTCTCCCGCAGCTGCCAATCCAGTTATTGGAAAACAGCCCAACTTTCCCGGCCACTGAACCCAGTCACAGCCTCCACCAGAGCTGCTTCCTCATGTGTAAATGGAGATAGTGTCCCTCTCCCAGGGTTGTGAGGATTAGAATTGTAGACCAGAGATCAAGTCCCACACACAGTAGGTTAGCAACCCACTGATGATGGGGGGGCCGGGGCCCTTCTCACTGTCACAAAAGCTGTGCGACCACAACCAGACCAATGACCAGCTGGCCTGCTCTCAGCCCTCTCAGGGAGGGAGCTCTGGTGATACCCCTGCTTTACAGCCAGGCAGCACGCTCAGAGAAGCGATCAGATCAGCTAGCGACAAAGCCTGCACCCAGACTACCCTACCCCACCGAGGAATTTCTGGGGGAGCAACAAAGGCAGCTTAGTCTCCCCTCCAGCCTAGATGATAAGAATTAGAGGCCTTCCCCTCCCCAAACACACAGCATAATCCACAGACCACCCCCCCGAAACCCTCTCCGCCCTAAATCAAGCCCCTCCAGCACACAAGCTGTGACACCCCTTCCCCAGCTCCCCCGACTGGATTTCCCCAAAACACACTCAACTCTGTGACCCTCTCACCCAATACACATAAACCATTAACTCGCTTCCCAACACACACCCAACCCTGACCCCACCAATCCCTTAAGCACACACAGCCCTGACCCTCACCACAATGCACACAGAATCCAGCCCTCCACAGTAAATACCGGTCCTCGCAGGAGACCCAGCCCCAGGGCTGGTCTGCGGTAGACAATCCTGTACCGTCTCGGGGACCTTCCTGAGAGACTAGCGGGGCAAATACCCCAAGAATATTTATGTCCTTCCATAGGCCACCCGGTCTCTGAAGGGGACACCCAAGGCACCCAAGGCCCAGCCTCCTCCTGGGGAGAAGGATGGGAGGCGGGGAGGGAAGATCCCAACACCTTTGTTGGTGGAAAGTGGGAGGAGGGAGCCTCATCAGCGAGGTTTCCTACAGAAGGGTGGCGAGGGTGTCAGTGCTCCCTGCAGGAATGGGGCAGCAGGGGCAGCAGGGAAGGCGGGGCTGCCCCACGCATGGGAATTTTGATCTGTCAGGCTGCCTTGCCCGGAGCTGAGAGCCAGGCCCCCCAGCTCTGCATAAGAAGGAGGGAGATGGTCCCAGAAAAGGGGAAGGTTGGGGAGAAGCTCGGAATCAGGGGGTCTGTGTAGGAAGAGTCACTGTTGTTGTTGACGAGGAGGAGGGGGAGAGGAGCAGGGAAAGCCACAGGCTCCCGCAGGGAGGGGGCAGGAAGGGGCATTGCCTAACCTGGGTGGAGAAAGCCAGAGAAGCCTTCACTTGCCTGAAATGTGGGCACCCCACCCTGGGGGGGAAAGGTTACCAGGGTGGGAAGTGGGGACCCGGAAGCCCTCCCCACCCACCTCTGAGAAAGAGGAAGAAGCTTGCAACATTCAGAGGAGGGCAAAGCATGCACTCCCCTGGCACAGGGCAGGGCAGGGCCAGCGGCGGGCCCCCTCCCACCCTCAGTGCGGCCAGGCCCCCGGGGAGCAGTGTCGGGGCCTCTGCTCCCATCACCTGGGGAAGGACAAGTTGTTCACAGACACCAGGTGACAGCCCCCCGACTTCTTCCCTAAAGAAACCCCACCCTGCAGGAAGTAGACGCTCTTATCCGAAGTGGAAACATGAGCCCCAGTCCCTATAGACACAACTACCCAGCAACTACCCCATACGGACACTGGGAACCACAGCCACACCCACCCCCTCCCTGGCAACCCTGAACCCAAGAATTGGCCTCGCCATCACCTGGCACCCACTGGAAGGCCAGGCCAGAATCGGTTCCCGACTCCCAGGTCACTATGCCACCCGCCTCGCATCCTCTGTGAGGAAGAGAGGAGAGAGGAAGGAAACAGAAGACAGAGGTGTGACAAGGGGTGGTGGTGGAAACTGAGGCAGTATTTGACTGCCCCCCTGCCCCAGGGCTTAAAGGGGCACAGGCATAGAGCTCCTACTCCCAGCGGCTGGTGGGGCCTGGGAGGAAGGGGGCCATGGCGGAGCCAGAGGCGGCCACCAGGAAGCGGTGGTGGTGGGCACTGGGCCAGTGCGGGCAGCGAGGCGCCCAGCCAGGGCCTGCCCCAGGGACAAAGAGACTCCCTGGCTCTGGGGAGAGCGCGCTGCCCCCGCACCGAGAAGGGGGCACTGACCCCGCCAGGCCAGGCTCACAGGGCAGTGATGCCAGGCAGCTTGCCAGCGGCTGCGGGAGGGGCAGTGGGCGCCCGGGGCAGGGTGTTCAGTCCCTGCCCGCCAGGAGAGGTGGGACACGTTTCCCAGGTCAGCGACTGACCCGCCAGCCTGCTGGTCCATGCCGGTCCGTGGTCTATTCCGCTGCTTCCACCCCTCCTCCAGCCCCAGGCCAGGCCCCGGCTCTGCTCCCTCCTCCCCCCCAGCCCTGGCCTGGCGCCCAGCTGGGCCCTGGGGGCCAGAGTTACTGTAAGCGGCCTGGCAGGCCCAAGGCCTGGACTCTGCCAGCTGGCCCTGGCCGCCGCCACCTCCCACTACCTGGCTCGGCCAGCCAGGGAAGGGCACTGAGACCCCCGTCCAGCTAACAGGCAGCCCCCATGGCAGAGGGCGGAGGCAGAGAGAAAACACAGGCCCTGCCAAGACCATGCATGTGTCCACCGCCAGCGTCCAAGCCCAGCGCCCCTCCTGGGACACTCGCCCTATCCCCCAGGCTGCTCCTGGGTTCCTCCCTCTCTCCCTCCCCACGGGGCGGAGCTGGCCTGGGAGGGGGTTCCAGCAGCCTGCCCCTCTCTACTCCTTCAAGCCCTTTCCCTCAGAGACGCTGGATGGGGTGGGGAGTAGGTGGGTGCCCCCACAGTAGAGCTGCCATTTCCACCAAATGTCGAGAGGTTTGTTTACTCGCCTGCAGGCTGTGTCCAGCCCTTGGAGCTATTTATAAGGTCCTCAAAGACTCGGCACAGAAGAGGGCTGGGGGGCACCGCGGAACAACATTGTTTCCTCTCTCCCTCCGAGGCCCCAACATCAAACAACCACGTGATCAGCCTACAAGCCTTTCCTCCCGGAGCCCCCCAAACGATGGATGTGCCCCTTGTCCGCAGAAGACCTCGCTGCTGCAGCAGGACAGATGTACCCAGAGGCAACCCCCAGGCCTGCTCCCTGCAGGGCTCCCCCACCCAGCCTCCCATCACCCCACTTACTGGCTGGGGAGGGTGTGCTGTAGCCACTAACTGGAAGCTGGTGCTGGAGAGTGGTCAGAGCGCCTGGCGGGGAGAGTCCACCCAGCATCGGGGGGAAGAAGAAGGCGTAGGGGGGCACCGGGTACCCATTGAGGTGCCCTCCCCCAGGTGTCGGACAGGAGCTGCTGTTGCTGGCCATGCCAAGCAGCCACAGTCAGGAGGCAGGCAGACAGTCTGGCGGAAGGCTCCGGCGGGCTTCAGGCCGCCCCTCCTCGGGGCATGGGGCCTGGGCCCGAAGGGGGCTGGGGTGGTCAGCCCACCCCCCTTCTGTCCTGGGGCTGCTGTCCACGGCTAGCGGGCTAATCTCAGCCGCCTGGAGCCCCCGCGCTAGCTGGGGTCCAGGGCTTCGGGGACGTCCCAAGAGCTGGTCCTTTGGTCAAGCAGTTCTGCAAGCAGGCACTTTCCTGGGGAGGTCCAGAGCTGGCCTTCCGGGCGCCGAAGAGGATGCCTCTCCTAGGTGGGCCCCGGCTAGGCAGCTGGGGGGGCCATGTCCTGTGACGCTGCAGAGAGAGGAAAGACAGGTGAGTGGGCACAGAGGAGCGGGCACACGGGCATTCCCCGTGGAGCTCCCCAACCTGGGCGGCCGGAGATTTTCCTGTGGCACCCGGCTGAGCAGACAGCTGGCACCATGCCTGGCTGGCAGAGACAGCCTGGGAGCAGGGCCCAGACGCTGCTGGGGGTGGCAGGACAGCACAGCCAGACTGGGGAGACAGGGGCAGAGCTCAGAGCCGCAGAAGGCCTCTCACCCACAATCCTGAGGGTAAAGGGTCTACGGTGCCACCCCAAAGGTTCCCCGTAGCAGAGGCAGGCAGCTGAGCGCCTTCCCCCAGCGTGGGTTACCTGAGGTCAAGATGCAGAGAATGAGGGCTGGAGGGGAGCAGGGAGGGGGAGGAAAAGCCGCTTCCCTAAAGCACTGGCACTTCTCAGAAAAATGACTCCTAAGCCAGGGGCCTCTCTTACACCACTTCCCCCCCCCCAAATCCAAGCCCCAGCACCCCAGATGGGTTTGTCCCACCGGCCAGGGGAGGAGGCCTGTTTACATACGTGAAAATAGGGAAACGCGAACTGAGGGCTCCTGGGCATCACCCCCAGTGCCTAACCTAACAGCAGGAGGGGCTGGGTGGGCAGTGTGTCAGGAGGGCAGGGCCTACACTGAAGGGGTGAGGGAGGCTGATCTCCGAGTTCACCCACAAACTCTGTCTGCAGAAGCAACATCCCTGGAGGGGGCGGGGGTGGGCCACAGATGAAAGGCCAGATGTCCCCCACCAGTGTATACACAGATCCACACCCTGTTTGAACAGCTGGGACCAGAGGACACGCATAGATAACACCACGGGGGGAGAGAGAGACAGAGATGAGCCCAGAGGCTCCGTGACACAGTCAGACAGACAGCAAAGAGTGAAAAACAGAAGCAGATCCACAGCAGAGACTTCCCACCCACTCGGGCTCTACAGGACATACATACCTGAATACACATACGTGCATGTCTATATACATACATGTGTAGTACATACATGAAAGACAAAAGAAAAGACAGCTACACACACACACAGAGAGAACAGCCAATCAAAACCACAATGAGATACCACTTCACATCTACTACGATGGCGATAATAAAAAAGACTGATAATAACCAGTGTTGGCAAGGATGTGGAAACACTGGAGCCCTCATACACTGCTGGTGGGAATGTAACGTAGAACGGCTGCTCTGGAAAACGGTATGGCCATTCCTCAAAGGTTACACAGCGTTAGCATCCTATAATGACCCAACCATTTCACCCTGAGGTTATCTACCCACGAGAGATGAAAACATCAGCCCACACAAAAACTTACACACGGATGTTCATCACAGCATTGTTCATAACAGCCAGACAGTTAACCCAAATGTCCACCAACTGATGAATGAAGAAATGACACACAGATCCATACAATGGAATATTACTCTGCCATAAAGAAGGATGAAAGCATGGATATACACTCCAATATGGATACACCTTAAAAGCATTCACCTGGTTCCAAAAGACCGTACAGTGTTTGATTCCATTTACATAACATGTCCAGAATAGGCGATTTATAAAGACATCAAGTAGATTGTGGTTTACCAGGGGCTGGGTGTGGGTTTGAGGAAAATGGGAAGTGACTGCTGAGAGTACGGGACCTCTGTTCGCAGTGATGAAAAATTTCTAAAATTGATTGTGGTGGTTGCACAACTCTGAAAGTACTGAAACCATTCAACTGTATACTTTAATGGGTGAATGTTATGGTATTTGAATTACATCTCAATAAAGCTGTTGAAGAAAGAGAGAAGGGAGGAAGGGAAAGGAAAAGACCCAAAATAAGGACTGCCTCCCTCTCCAACCCCGTCCCCCCAGGCTCGAGCCGTCCCAGGTTCCAAGCTCCAGGCTCCCCAGCTCAGACCTGGAGTCCAGTGGACAAGCACATGGCCAGCATTTGGCTGAGGACCATGCCTGGGAAGGGGAGTTCCTGCCAAGGCCACTGTGGACGAGGCCAGGGCTTCTGGGCCCAGCTGGGCCAGCCAGCCTGTGCCAGGAGGGGGAAGTGGGGACAGGTACGTGCTAGGGAGGGGGCAGCTCTCCTAGGAGTGAAATCTGTACCTTGTTTTTTTGTTTCTGTTAATCCTCATCCCAGGATATTTTTCCATTGATTTTTAGGGAGAGTAGGAGAGAGAAGGAAAAACAGAGAGCCCAGACTAGGGCCCCGAGGTCTGCGCTGCGGGGGTGGGGGTGGGGGATGGCCTACAACAGAGGTATGTGCCCTTGACCAGAATTGAATCGGGGACCCTTATGTCCGCAGAGCGACGCTCTAGCCACTGAGCCAAACCGGCTAGGGCTGGACCTTGTTAATGACCATGATTTTTACTGTTATTAATGACGAGGACCATCGGGCTCTGTTCTCACTCCTGAAGGAGGTGTCCCTTCCTCCCCGCAGGCCCCTGCGGATTCCCTCCCGGGTTGAGAGGGCTGACGTCAGAGGAACAAGGGCCCCACCCATTGGGCAAACTGCCACCCCAGGCCCCCCACACCCTTGTGGGGCCCCACACAACGGAACTCAGGCAAGGGAAGGAGGGGTTGGCTGGGCCTCATCAGCACTGACAGTCAGACTAAGACACACACACACACACACACCCCACACTTGCAGAGACTCATGCACGCAGGGCTATGGGGAGCGTACGGGTGGGCAAGAGCACGCTCGCACACCGGCCTGTGTGTGTGTGGGCACGCACGGGAGAAGAGGCAACCTGGAGATACCATCTCTCCACACCTGGGCTCCACCACACAATGAACACGGTTCCGGGCTGGCGTGCCCAGCCCCAGGACACAGCTCCCCGCAGACACACACCACAGCCCCCGTTTCCCCTGGCCCTCACCCAGCCAGGCTGGCCTCTGTGCCCGCCTCCCTGGGGTCCAGGCCCCCAGCACACACCGCGCTCCATGAACACACAGAGGTGCACCCCGCAGAAATACTCTGGAGGATTCACATCCACGCTGGGGCTGCCTCCCTGAGATGAGGCCCCGGGGGGCTGAGGCCCAGAAAGCCAGTCGCTTCAGACTCCAGGCATCCTGACCCAGCTTTGGGGGGCTTGGGGATGGACCCCCTCTGGAACCCCCCGTTGCCCCCACAGGAGAGAGAACTACAGTCACCTTAATGCCTCCACCCCTCTGCCTCGGAGGAGTTTGAAACTGAACCAAACTTCAAACTCCCCCACAGATACACACCCCAGGGAGAGGCTGGAAGGTCTCCCCACCCCGATCTGAGCCTCAAACTTGAGTGCAGTTACTCAGCCCCTTGGGGAGGGCCTTTAGCAGCCGGAGGGGGTAAAGATCACAGAAACGGGCCAAGGGCCAGGCTGGTGAGGGAACAGGGATGGGCAAGGGCATGGATGATGGGGACAGAGCCAAAGCGCACAGGCTCTGCCTCAGAAGTTCCTCTGGAGCCATGACCCTCGAGGAGACACCTGGGCCCCAGGCCCCTGCACCCAGGGGTGGAGAAGACACAGTCACAGAATCGAAACCAGCACCAAAGAAAGGGAAAACAAACTACCCACATCCAACCTCCACCCTGTGCCCGCCACCTCCACGGCCCAGGGGCACCCTCCCTCGAGGGATGGAAACCGCAGGCCCACACCTCCCATACGCTGAGCCCAGACTCAGTGCGGCTGAAAGAGGGGTGGGGGCTAGAGCGCAGCCACCAGCCACACGCCCCTGCCCCTGGGCCCCCCTCACCACGGTGCCTGAACCCCTGCCCAGGGTCAGGTGCCCCAGGGTCACACGCCTAGAGGAAAAGGCAGGAGCTGGCTGCGCCTTGAAGATGGTAGAAAAAACAGAGGTTTGAAGGGTCAAATCTCAGCTCTGCCACTCTGGGTGACCTTAGGCAAGTCATTCAACCTCTCCAAGCGTCTGTTTACTCGCCTGTGCACCGTCTACCTCAACAACTGGTTGTGCGATTTAAGAGATAAAAGTCCTGGAAAGCACCCAGCACCGCGCCTGGCACCCAGGAGGTGCTGGGCAACTGCCCCCCCCCCAACCTCCTCAACCTCCCCACGCCTCTCAGCACCACCCAGGGCCTCCCTGGGCGGTGTCTGCTCTCCCTTCCTCTCCCCGACCACGGTGAGCATCTGTGGACAGAGCTGGGCAAGAGAATTACCCACTTTCCAGGGTCTGCTTCCCCCAGACTGAGGAGAGGGATGTGGGGAGAGGGACATTCGGGGTGTGGGTGGAGGCCTGACCACAAGCCTTTCCCAAATTCCCTTCTTTCATTTCACAAACCAAAAAAGGGAAACCTTTGGATTTGGGGAGGGGAGGAGGGGAAGAGAAATTGACCATTTCCTCCCTGTTGTCGGAGGAGAGGAGCCGGGGTCCCCAAGCCCAGCTGGCCCAGCGCCCCACCCCCCTTCATTCACTCTCTCCTCTCCCCTCCCCAGGCTCTCCTGAAACAATGGTTCCCCATGAACAGAAATCAGGCAGTCCCGGAGGGGCTCAGAGGAGGAAACCAGGATTGGGGAGCTTAACAGAAGGGGGCACAGGGGGTTTCCTAACATTCTAGACAGTCAATGAATCATATGCAAATGACACCCGAAGCTCAAGCTCAACTGGAGGGGGTGGCACGGCGATGGGAACTCCAGCCTGGCAGAGGCAACACCTGGCCACTTTGGCCCCCTCCCCTGCCAGGAGCAGGGCAGATTTCAAACCCCACAGTGGGCTGGATCTACTTACAAACTCTCCAGGAAAGGACACGCACACGCACACACAAAGCCACAACCTCCCTCTTCCCCCATGCTCCTCAGATCTGCCGGCAAGGGTGGGGGAGCCGTGATGACCACTACCGCCTTTTTCCAGGGGTCCCTCTCCTCCCCAGCAAGCCCACACTCTGGCCACTCTGGTCCTTGGTGACCAGGGTCTGGGCTGCAGGCAGGAGAGAGGCCACCCCAGGAGTGTGTGCGAAGGATCACCTGGGACAGGTGGCGGGCAGCTCTTCCCCA